AAACTGAAAAGTCTCCCAGCCACTCTTGAGCAATGGCCGTATCCTGCAGTCCAACAGAGTCCAGGTCCTTCCAGAGCTGAGCATCACCTGTGAGAGCATCATGTCCTCAACCTTCAGACACACAAGTTTGAGGGCCTCTCATTTGATTTGAGCTTCTGTGTTCAAACACAAGGCAAAAGGACACTCTTTCTGGAATGTTTTGGAATTGGATATACTGGCAGAGAAACTGGCTTTTTTTGTGATTTTGTTGAGAAACAAATAAGTGTTAGAGGTTGAATCTGATCCTTTCAAAGAAGTTTGGCAAAATGATAGTTTTAGTGGGACTGCATTTTGTGCTGCTTCTTCAAAATGATCTGGGTAACTACTGCAGTGTTTTATTGGTAACTTCAGGGTGATACAAGTTTGTCTCCCCTAGAAAGATGGTTGCCAAATCAAGCTTATGAAAAGCTTCCTGGAGATACATTGACATAACAGTGTTTGTAGAATAATATATGAAATAATATGAGATATGAGCTTTCTACCTGATAGATAAGGATTATGAAATCTATCTTTTTTCCTTTTTGAATGAGAGCATTTGAGAAAGACCAGGAGGGTCTGTACAGTTTATTGTGATTGGTGTTATGTTAGCAGCATCACAGTTGCATGACTTGTACACCATAGCAAGTGCTTTACAGACTACTGACCAATTATGTAATTTATTTTGATTTCTCAACTCATCATAAAGTAGATTTTTGAGTTTCTGGGCTCCTTTGAACTCAAAATGCAGATCTGAACTATCAGAGGGGTACAAAATTTGAGTATAATTTGCAGGAAACATGATTGAAATTAAAACATTAAGAACTAAAATTCAAACTGATACATATTTGGTAGTTTTCCTTAAGTATTTTTTTTTACTGCAGCTTGCAGAGAAGTTAAACAGCTTAATCTCTCTCCCCAAAGCCTTAATCTCTCTAACAAGGGTCCCCTGGATCCCCAAAGCATGGTGAATTTGCCAGGAGGTCAGCTGGCATGTCAGTCTTAGATACGAAACCACAACTCCCTGTTTAGGATGGTGAGAGCTGGAGTCCTGCCTGCCAAGCCTCTTGCATCCTGTGAGAAAAGTCATGCTGCATCTCGTGTGTGAGCAGTACATCTCTCTTCTTCTGACAGCTGTAAAACTTAAAGCTGTGATTTGAGGAGGGGAGGTGGATTCTGGCGGCCTGGCCTTCCCCGGCACCGCGCGCGTCTATTCTTCCAGCGCGCCGCTCGTTACGCCTCTGTGCAGAGCGATTTCTCTGCATGGCCAGGTGATGTTTAAGGAGACTAATGAGAGGAATGATACGGCCCAGAACACTGGTGTCAGGAAATATATTGCAAGGTGTCTATCTTGAGGAAGCTGTAAGCGGGGCTTGTCTTATTATATATTTCAAAGGGGATGTCTGTGTCACCACCAAATTAGACATTCACCCTGTCCCACACCACATTCAGATTATATATTTTTTGTTCAAATTGTAGCTTTCCATTCAATTATCATTGGCTTAATGGCAGGGTCTGCGTTGTACAGGGGCAAATCAAGTGTCCATCGCATTAGCACGCCATTCTTTTGTGGCAGGAATTTGTTTCTGAGGCCATTGTATCGTAACTATGCAAGCGTCAGAGGACAGGATGGAGGCTATTATGGGCTTCTGCTTTTTGTGAGGAAAATCAAACAAATGTCCCTGATGGAAAAAGGAAACCAGCAGCTGGATGTGATGACCAAAGAATGTTTTTGTGCAGTGGCACTGTAAGTACTTGGTCTGTTGTCAAACTGAAAAAAAAATATGCCTTTTTTAATGTGTTTTTTTTTTCCTTCTGCTGTCAACTGAAGTGGAGAAACCCCCCCTGTGAATTTTCATGAGATGCCTTTTCCTTTATTCTAGCACTTAACAATCCAATTATATTTGGGTTTATGCTAGTATTTGCCTCTATTGCCATTGTTAGGTTTTGGAATCAGAGCGATTTTTCCATCCTGATGGTGCGGAAAAAAATATGTTTCATTATGACTTGTTATAACCCTGGAAATCTTTTTCTCTCGCTTGGGTTGATGATGATTTTTTTATGTGGCACTCTGTACTGATGCCTAAAGTGAAGTAGAATAAAGCATAAGGAAGAGAAGCTTTGCTGAAATATTGCTTCTTCCACTGTGGAGAATTATCTTGGAAGAAAGCTTGCTTCTCTCTAATGTTATGCTTTTTTCCCCCCTATCATTCAAGTTGTTTTTACAAATGAATGTTGTTTTTGCAAGGTTTGTTTATGAAGGCATTGCTCTTAGCAACCCCCTGCTCACCTGTGAGCAAATTACATGGCACAGATCAGGTATCCAGTTGTTTCTGGGTAGGATGACCTTAAAAACAGATCCTGCAACAAGACAAGCTTTTAAATTCCTAACCAAATATATTATGTGAGTAATAAAAAGAGCTCCTCAAAATGGCCACAGAGGCATTTCAGAGCACATTCCTGGGAATATTCACTTGTGCTAGTATTCATTAAGTTTGCTTTCAGCAAAAATTCTCATGAATGAAATTTTATTCAGTAGTCATTATGATTATTACTTTGCTATCACAGCAATAACCCAGTGCTTTGTAAAAGGCCAGGACCTGATTTTGTTTAAGGCTGGAGAAACATCTTACAGGGTCTCCAGAGAGTGTATTGTCTAAATATAAGACCAGGCTCGTCTAACAGCTCATGACTGGGAACAGCAAACCCTTAGAGGGCAATGGGTTTGTTTACAAAAAAATTCACGGCTAGAGAAGGATGGATGCAGAACCGTAGAAAATGTTACACCTTTTGAGCTGCAGGAGGCTAACAGTGCTACAACTCCACTGAATAGGAATGTAATTATACATTTTTATGTTATGTAGGTAGTTTAGGTGATGGTGGCTAGTCTTGCAGATAAAGAGACTGCCTCTACAGTTGCGGTTCATTGCTACTTTGAATTGGTTTATCCGCACACTAATGAACACACTGGAAGAGGACTCTCTTGGTTTTGGGGTCTGTTTGCTTGTTTTTTGTTGGTTTTTGGTTTTTTTTGTTTTTAATTTTAAAAATGGCCTAATAAAAATGCATATACCAGTGAAATCCCTGAAGCAAAGGCTATGCTAAAGAGTTGGACTCTGAGTTGTGCAATACATGAACTCCCATGACATGAATAAACTTCTCCTTCCTGGAAAAATTAAACGAGATTTTCAGCTATTCACAGCTGAAGTCTACATGAACTCTTACTTCCTCCAATCTACAGGAACATAATGGAGCAGAGGTATCCTATCATGCTGGTGGGAATTGTAAGTCTAGGCCTAAGGAAGTGTTTCCAGAGCTGCAGCTTATTTGCAGAGCACAACGTCTGTAACGTTTTTTTGTTCACCTACTGGTGGAAAAGCACGTCTCCTGTGCCTTGGAGGTGATTCATCTGACTGGTGAATATGTGGAGTCCTTCAGCAGATGGTGACTGGCACTGGCTGCTATCTGGAGCATTGATTTTTGGGTGTACCAGAGTGAAAGATGCTCATGGGTACTAGGTCCATAATGGAAAGGTTTTCTGGGGTGGAGGGAAGGAGCTGTTAAAGAGGCACTGTGCCAATCCCCTGTGTTATTCAAACCCCAAAATAACTATTCCTCTCTGCCTGTAGATCAGTCAGAACAGTTTGTTGGCAGCAGAGCTAAGCACAGGACACTGAGTATTTCTTCGGTTTTCTTGTCTCACTGCTCTCTTTTCCCATGTCATGTGAAAAATAAATAATCTGATTAAGTCGTTTGACATTTATAATTAATTAGTTCTTCCTTACTCTTATTTTGTTTGCCTGTCCTTTTCTCTGGCCCTTCTTTTTTCTACTTTATCTATCAATCATCAGATCCAAGAAATCATTCAAATGTTTTGGGGTTTTTTAACAGATAAATACAGTTTACAGCATATTCTTATCTTTTGAAGGAAAGCTTGGTCCCTTCTTTTGTCCATCCCACTGCACATGTTGTCATGTTCTGGCACCGCAGTCACTTCTAAGTCCTTGAGCTATCATGTATTCTGTTGGTATTTGAGGAATTGAAAATCAATCACACAGCCTTATGGCTTAGGTTCAGCACAATTCTATTATGCCCACTCGCAAAAGTCAATTCAAACCTTTTGGGCTATATTTCAAAGCCTAATCAAGCTTGCTGTCTGCCCTGGTTTGGAGTCAGCTCACTCCTGGCCATAGGTTTGCTTATTAGAGCTTTTGTGTCAGAAACTAGTGTAAAAAAGCGGTTCTCATAACACTAGAATTATTCAGTGGGCATTTTGCAAAGGCAAACCACCCAAACAAGCTTTGTCGTAGGGGAATGCTTACTGTTTTAATATGGTTCTACAAATACATTTTTTAAAAATTGTTAAAAAAAGAGGCTATCTTGGTACAAGTGTTCATAACTGTACTTTCTCATGAAAAGATGTCCCAATTTACTGAGATTAGATTTCAGCCCTGTCACGCTAAGCTGGTACAGAAAGTATTGTAGATGCAACCCTGAACTTAGATGGTGAGTTCCATGCCTTGGACCATATGAGCAAACGAGGATGGTGCTTCCAAGCAGATGGAGCAACTCCTCCAAGCATGATTTGTGCTGCCTCCATCTGGCAGGGGCACATGGGGCCTGCATGTACAGTGTCTGTGTCAATCCCCTGATTCCCAGCAAGTGCCAAGAATTCAGCCTAAGAATAAAATAAGCTCTGTGTAGAGCTGGCCATTAGCGATCCTCTGTGAAGGATACATAACGTACCTGTTGTGAATTGGGGGAGATCAGTCTCATCTCACTGGGAAGAAAGCAATGACAGGCTGTTAGTTGTGGCATTTCCAGCTGATTTATAGAAGCCTCCTCTTTTGCTGAAATGCTGGTGGCCATTCTGTAGAAGCCAAGCATGCACTATAAATAGGATGTAGCTCTCTGCTTCCATCTCCCATGGAAGACATTGCTCTGTGACCCATCCTTCATGTTCCCTGTCCTGCTGTGTTCTGCAGAGGCGCAGAGATTTTCTCCAGTGGATGCTCGACGCCTGCGACTCAGCCGACTCCCTGGCAGCCGGGTGCTGGGATGTGCCCGGCCCATCTGCCGCTCTCAGACAGGATGAAGCGCCTCCGGCTGGCACGGCCCCATCTGAAAAGGCTCAGAAGATGCTAACAGAGGATGAGATAGCAGGCCAGGCTTTCCTGTTCCTGATCGCTGGGTATGAGACCACCACGAGCACGCTGTCCTTCGCCACCTACTTGCTGGCCACCAACCCAGAATGCCAGGAGAAGGTGCTTTGGGAGGTCGATGAGTTCTTTGCAAAACATGTGAGTATGATATGCTGGTCTGGGGCTTTGTGCAGGGAACAAGGCAATGTAAATGGATTAACATGAGAGATGGCCTAGAAACTTGGTGTCATAGGGAATGCTTAACCTTAAAAAAAACATTACATTATTGCAATCAACCAGCTATTGTCAGGCTTTAAAATTGCATATTTCTATTTTTTCCTCTTGTACAAATGCTTCTATTGTTTTTGTGGTCAATTTTATTTGCTAATCTTTATAGTAACATAAATAGTGTTCTTGCAAATAATAAACTTCAAAGTTTTGTTTTAAATCTTTTTTTTCTTTTTTTTATATTTAGCAGCAGAATATATGTGTAAGCTTAAAAAAAATCATGGTATCTAATTCTCTTATACTGTGTTCAAATTACTTCTCTTTTACTATCTGCATTTGCCAAGGGCATTTTTGTTTCTGGGAGCTGGAGTTATTTACTTGTTTCATTCATATGTGGCAGGCCTAATTGTGCCCTCTTGTCTGGTGAGTTCAGCTGACTTTTTTAAGGCCTGCCAAGATGTGAAGGTGCAACTTGGCCTGGAGTATGGGCAGTTTACTGGGTAATGCTGGGGGCAGAGTTGCACACAGAAGCCACTACTATGCAGGCCCAAGGAAAACATGGTTAATTTCCTCATCAATTCCTGAAAGCTGGCAGCCTAGGAAACCAAAGGGAAATTGCTGGGAGAGGTATCCAATAGGATAGGTGTGTGATGCCATTCATATCTCTCTACAGATGGGGATGTGAAATAGTAAACATTTCTGTGAAATTGTGTAGAAATCAGAGTTCAATCAGTCATTAGTGTGGTTCCTTAAGGATATTCCACATGGGGAGTCCATGCATATGGCCATGTCTACATGAACAAGTAGTGTGCTCATGTAGGCACAGATTCATCATCCAGCACAGCTGGTAGTGGGGGCTCTTGGATACACACTCTGTGCACCTCAGAGGTTTATTCTTAGTTAAAGTCTAGCTCTGTGTGTACCAGATTTCCTTTAGCAGTTGGTCTGGTCCAGTTCCAGTTAAAGGAGGCCTTGCTGTGCACTTGAGGACTGCAGTGGGTGTGATTCTGATTCAAGCTGGAGAACAAAATGGACCCTGGCTTGTATATGGTCTCACTGAGCTGCCACTCACTATTAGTAATGTTTCAATAATGATCAAATTCAAATGCTTAATTCTTGACTTTCTTGGTTCTCTATGAATATTTTGCTAATAATTTCAGCTTTTGCACTATCTAGGAGAGGTTATGAAGCTGGGGACACTTGTGGCAGAGAAGTCAGTGCAGAGAGTTGGCACTCAAATTAATTTCTGCTCTGTACAAAGTCTGTGTGGGTGCCTCAACTCAAAATGGTGTCCTCATCCCAAACCGTGCTGTGCCATGTTCCATGATTGGAAGTACCTTTCAAATAACTTCCCTGTACTTTATGAGTTGTCAGGTTTAGCTTTAGATGGTTCCTATATGGCTGTATGGCCAAGGAGAAGAGAGGGAGAGAAGGATAACAATTCTTCTGCAGCCCCTGATAACAGGGAATTTGTAGATCTGATCTGTGCAGCCCCATCCTTCAAAAGATTTCCTTTTATACACAGTTCATGATTTGGCAGGGGGGTGGGAGGGGGCAATACACTGCTCAAGGAGCCCATCCCAGAATAAGGAAAAGAGTGTAGCAGTTCAGTCCCCTTAGTGACTGCAATTAACTACTTTTAGCCTAGAAAATGAGATCTATGTGAACGGTTTGCAAGTTATGGGAGCAGAAGCTATTTTGGAGCTGGGTATATATAGATGCTGTGTTCAGTTGTCATGCAAGAAAGAGGAAGGGAGGGGACACAGAAGCTACAGGCTCACAGTTAGTTATCAAGTCACTTGCTAAGAAATTTGATTAGGTTATTGCTTGTACTTAGCACATCAGCTTTGCTCTTATCAAGGTAATTTTCAGAAAGGAAGGGCTTTAGAGGGCCGAAATACGGGGAATGATACAGTCAGATTGTTTCGACATGTGGTGGAAGACTTTTGATTTTCAGATATGCAAGTATTAAGCACAGTACCCCCTTCAGCCAAATTTATACTCAGGTAATTATAAATACAAAATGTTCTCCACCACGTCCTGCTTCTGTCCTCCAACCATTTCAGGTGCCTGATGCTGCATGTTTTATTGCCCTAATCTGTGGTTTGGAGCTGCACTCTGATTTTTTACAGCAGCTGCTGTGTATCATCCTAGAGATGATTGTACTTTGGTGGTGGACAGAGTGATTTATATACTCATTTACCAAAGTTTATAAAGACATGTGAGAGCCATCTGAGAAAAGGTGCTATAAATGACAGGCACAGTTCCAGCTTTTTGGCACACCAGTCAAAAACACAAAGCATGGTGACCTTGTAATAGTCAGTAGTGGAGCAAGGTTGGTCCATCTGGGCATACAGCAGTGTTTTGGTGGCTCTGGGTGTTGTACTTGAAGACACCCCTGCCTTTGATGTGATCCTTATTTGTCTGTCTTGCATGGTGGGTGTGTTGGGAAAGCATGAAGAGGATGGAGAAAGCTGGAGGCACTGCTGTGCTAGAGATCCCTGGGTAGGCATGGTGCAGACTCCTGCAGTGTGGTGCAGAGATACAAAGCTGGGTGCTGGAAGTGTCTGGTCCAGTGCTGGGAGTCAGATACCCCGAGGAGAGACAGGACCATGCTGTCCACCTCTGTTGTGTCCAGCCAAATTTTCTTCAGAGCTGTCTTGGGAGATCTCACTGCCCATTTCCACCACACAACCTGAATACACTGTGGAGATGGCACTTCCAGGCAAGTGTTCTCAGAAAACAGTGTCTGAGTGAGTCATGGGTTGTCATCTTTTTCTTTGTACCTCCAGGACCATCCTCATCTGCTTGCTAAAAAGGACTTTTTAGGTCTTTTCTTGATAGGTAGCTCAGTGTAGAGGCTTCATGGTGTCTCTTTCCCTCAAAGTGAGAAGAGGCACCTGGCCCATTTTAGAGTCTGGCAAGTAGGAGAAGCCTCTAATCTCAGTTATCATAGAGGGCAGGACATTACCCCCTCACCTCTGTCTGGGTCATCAGAGTGTAGGGAAAGGGGGTACAGAGCTTTTAATCTCTGGGGAAGCAGAGAGACAAAGTACTGACTTGCCTACTTGCCACCATACACTGCATCTTCCTATACTACTTCTGAATCCCTGTGTGTGCTCCAACTGTAGTGAAAAAGACAAGCATAATTCATCTAATACACAAATAAAAATTCAAATTATAGAGACTTTGACCTGACCCTCTTCATAAATCCCTTGGGAGTATAGTGTGTGCTCTGTGAAGGGCAATCTGCTAAAAATAAGATGCACCTATTTGCTGCAAGCTTGTTGCTGGGTGTGCAGCTTGCTTTGATTCCATGAAAGCAAAATAAACAAGATGAAAAGGGAGTTAAATATGAACTAGTGGGGGCAGGACGCCTACCGCTGTGTCTGTATAAAATAATATTACTTTCTGCAGAGACCACAGATCTGGGACAGCAGAGAGGGGTCAGATCCTCAGATGGGTTAAACTGGTGCATGTTTGGTATTAGTACAGGTATGGTGATGTGCATCAGCTGAGAACCAAGCCTGGTATATACCAGTAAAGGAGGGCATGGGAAAAAAAAAGAAAGGCTGCTATTTCAAGACCAGATTATTTTTACAGCATTTGCGGCTAACCCTGAACTGTCAGAGGCTATACAGTTGTGAAAGAGATGTTTTTTATCCACATTCACCAAGTGAGAAAGAATGTACCCATGGTGTTCACCCTCTCCATTTCAGTCAAAAATGATCCCTGTGCAGAGTTTTTAAAGAGCCCTTCACAAGACATATTTAGGAACAGTTTCTGCTCATGTGACTGATTATTTTATCAATGTAAAAGCAAGTTGTTTTTTGTTTGTGTGTGTGTGCTTTGCAAAATCATAGCAAGCCTGGAGCACATGTTCCTTTTGAGCAGACAAACACTTGCTTCTGAGTGCCACTGTGTGCTGTGAGCTTCTCTGTGTGTTATGTCCTAAGCCCCAGAGCTTAGGGCATGAAAAATTCCATCTTCATGCTGGGGATTCCCTTAATGTGAGGCCTCTCGTTTTTACCTCTATTCCCATTTTAGCATTTAAGTGTCTCTCTCCCTTCCTTCTCCCTGCTCTCAAGCCTGAATCATTCACAATTATAAATTATTTTTTTGTTGTTGTTTTACTGGACTGAATAATTTTAGACAGGAAGAGTAGTGGCACAAAACAGAGTGCAAAAACATAGGTGATCAAGCTAACTTATTATTAACAAATAAGAAGTTATTTGTTACCCTGAGGTGAAATGTGGTGAGTGGCTGTAGGTATGTACTCCTGATCTGTTGCAAAGTAAACACATCAGGTTAAACCAGTGAAACTAGGTAATTTTCTTGAGGCAGGGGGAAAGCTTGCATGCTTGGGGCAGCTAAGGAGAGCAAAAGAGGTATGAGAATGATCTTCTCTGTCTCAATGCAATAAAGAAATCCATACTTGATGGTGCAGAGCATAGAAAAGCCTGGAGCAAGAGCTCCCTGAATTCTAATTTCACCTTCAGGAATAATTTACTGCATATTCTCAGTAATAGACAACCGAGCCCTGCATTAACAAACGGGCAGACTTAGTGCTGCAAGTTTTGGGGATTTTTAGCTCATATTGATAAACACCTGTTGTTACTAAAAGTACCACAGGAAAAAGTTGCATTCACCATTAAAGAATCTGGTATGTGTTGCTGCACTGATATGTGAGGCTTCAGGTCTGGTGAAGGACAGAGTAGCAGCTCACTAGTCCTTGCTGCTGATGCCCAGGAATACTTTCAGGAGCCCTGACAAAGGTGAAGGAGAGCACAGGAGTCAGGAGAAGTAAATAAAAATGAATGGATGAAAGAGCAGCTATTACCATAAGGTATTCATTGGAGACTGCAAGACTACCTGTGTTTTCCCTTCTATTTTAAAAAAGCTTTGTACTACTCTTACTTATCACTGCTTGA